TAGAAGATTTCCAGGAGCTCACGGAAAATCAGGAGGCCTCGGAAACCCGTTAAAAGTTATAATGGTTTAATTTAATAATTTACACCTCGAATTAGCGCGGGGCCTATAAAAGTGCGGGACCCACTGCGGCCGCATAGGTTGCAGTGTCTTAAGGCAGGCCCTGCATCAAGGCATCCGTTCTGACGCTACCGGCGAATTCTTTCTGGTACTTCTTCCTGTCCCCAAGAGCCTTCCTTGTGTTTTTTTTTCTAATGTTTATAACTCAAGCAGACTTTGTGAGACATTAGCCCAAAATGTTTTCTAAATTTTAATTGGCTTATGAAATTAAAAAAAAATATGGTGCATTACGATTGACGTACCATGTTAGTTAAAGATATATTTCACAGTACTACTACTAGACCGTAACTTAAAATAAATCTTTGCAGAAATATAAATAATTTTCATAGTACTCAAATGATAATAAATCTTTATTTCTAGTACCCTTATTCTAGAAAGGAATAATAAATAGAATTATACAGGAAAAATAATGCCTAGATATTTTTTAAAATGTGTTTGAAAGCCTAACTAACAAGATTACATAGAGATTTTTAATATTAGCAGAAATTTAGAAAAAGAAAACTTTAGAAAAGGCACACTATGGGTCAGTCTACCTCATCTAATTATATACTTCTCGACATCGCACGATGACAATAGAACACATATGTACTGATGCATTTTGTTAGCTGTAAAGGAAGAAAACATTTAACGTTTTAAAAGTGACCAAAACATTTCAGTAGACACGTTTTTCGTTGAACATTTTCTCTAAACTTTAAATAAATAAAAAATTATTTTATTTGCCCTATTTAAAACAAAAAATTAAAAAGTGTTTTTTTTTGGTACTGAGAATCATAATTATTGGTTCTTCTTGTTCTAGCAAAATGAATAGATAAAATAACAAATTTGTAGGCTTACCGTTTTAATATTTTTTGTTTGTTTGGAACTGTATAATAGTTCCCCTTTTCAGAAATTGTGGTATATAGGGCAGATGATGTAAAGTTCATCGGTTAACGAGGGTGTCATGTGGCCAAGACAACGACCAACCGCTAAACTTTTCCTAGACTAATATCAGGTGCCCATTAGAGCTGTGTGCACTCAGAGACGCCCAAAGATCCCGAAATAATCCACCAGGATTCGAACCCGTGACCCTTTGTTTAGAATCTAAACGCTTTACCGTTCAGCCACTGTGCCTGCTGAACTGTATGATAAGGAAAATAAATTTTGAACATTAATAATAATTTCTAATATAGTGCATTGATCATGATGGGAACGTCTGTTAAGGATGGAAACATCACAGATAATTTGACATCATTTGTAAATGTAACACTCCAACCGCTTTTGATTATTGACATACCAATACTTTATGTTATCAACACATTCGCCACAGTTCTAGTCAACCCCATCATCGCCTTGTTTGGAATCACAGGAAACATTCTCAGCATTGTTGTTCTGGTTAAGTCTAGCTTCACTAAACCTTCAAACGTTCTTCTTTCAGCGCTTTGTGTTGCTGACACATTCGTTCTAATTGCCTCTGTGAATATCCCAAGGTTTACATCATTTCTACCTGGTAAAAAACCTAACCACATTACTTTATGGGAATACAGTGAGACAGAATGTTATATTCTTTACATATTAACTATAATCATTCACGGATTCAATGTATACGGCGTGAAATTAAGCGCTGCCATTGTTACCCTTATAACTCTCGAAAGATTTATCGCCGTTTTTTTCCCTCTAAAATTCTCAGCCATCGTGACAACAAGGAGGGCGTGGCTTGCAGTTATCCTTGCTTACGTCATATGGCTTCCATGGCCTCTGTACAATTTCACATTGTATCGTTTTTTATTCCAATATTTTAAATTTTGGGACCTTTATGCTGGAACCATTTTGATCTATTTGGACGATTTATTTGTGGTGACAAACCTTTATGTCGTAATTCCTCTTGGACTGTACATGCCCTAGTAGTAACAGTAGGATCGTTGCTTATAGCCACAAAAGTTAACACTGGCAAAAAAGAAAATCTTTGGTTTCATCGGCCTCGGCGAAAACAAAAGCGAGGTCTTCAAAAACTACGAGGATGTTACTAACAGTATGCGGAGTGTTCTCGATCACAAAGTTTGCAAGCGTTATGGAATACTTTGTAAATCAGAATGAAGATTACAACTCAAGGGAACTAACGCTCGCTTTGTCCCTTGCAATTTACTACTTAGACAGCGTTTGCAGTAATTTCTTCATCTATGTGGCTTTGAATGAAAAGTTTAGAAAACTATTGAAAGAGACTATTCACTGTTAGAAAGAACATAAATACAGGGGAGTACACAAGAGGGTATACAGTGATTATATATATAAAAAAGAGAAAATACGTTTATTTGTTTACTGTACTTATTATACTGAAAGAATAAAAAGGAAAGGTTACAAGTATGTATCGCTACTTGCTCAATTAAACATAATTAATGCTTTCATTGAAAGAAAATATTTTTGTGACATTAGTTTGTTTTTGTATAATGAATGCAGTAAATTTTATTTCACTTTTTTTTCCCTTACTGTATACCTACGTTAGCACCCCCCTGCCCTGTAAATGAGATTGATTGCCACTCCAGTTTCTGACACCTTGAGAACAAGATCCAACTGTTTCAAAGAAACACTAGGACTCGATGTCGTGCTTTCAAAGAAACACTAAGACCCGATGTCGTGCTTTCAAAGAAACACTAGGACCCGATGTCGTGCTTTCAAAGAAACACTAGGACCCGATGTCGTGCTTAGTAGGGCCTTCTTTAAAACTCCTACCATCCTCCGAAAAGAAAAAAAAAGATGTAGGTGAAAAAGATTTCGTTACTTTTATATGTTGTTGACTCCTAGGTTTTTGTTAAATATTATTGATTTTTTTCGACTCAACTCCTTCATTAAACTTTATAGTTTTTAAAAGGTTAAATAGCTGTGAGGTCTAACTTTAAAACTTGAACATACAGAATAAAGTCTATTTATTTCATATTTTATTAAAATATATGTAGGCCTATGAGCAAAGGTTTTTATTTGAAAAGATGGATTCAGGTCGATTAGCTATTTTGATAGCTCCATTCAAACTATTTTTACATTCACGCATTCGCTTTACATTATTATTTCGTTTAATTGTTTACAAAACACTCTCATTTACTATATCTACATTAATACGCAAATTAAGACCCGCGGGTAATATCTGTCTAGTTATTGGTATTGGCATAATAGGTTTTGATTTACAGAAATGAATATATTATTCTTTTTATTGTATTTTCAAAATTTACTTATTAATTGATGTTTTTCTGACGTAATTTTTCTGCGCATCCAAAACGACCAGGTGTTCACCGGGTTTCTATTATTAATGGTATGGACAGTATAGAAGGACTTCTTATGGTCCGACAGTTACGCTGGGCAGAGCACGTATCCCGTATGAGAGACGAGCGTATGCCAAAAAGCTATAAGGTAGTTGACGTAAGAGGGATGCCCCACGGATATGCTTTAAAGACCAGCTTAGGCACAAACTTGCCTAGCTGACAGAGTAGAGCACCTGGTTGCATGCGGCTTCAGAACGAGACAGCTGGAGGTCACTCATAAAGGCCGCGGGAATCAAATTTGAGACCAAACGAAAATCTTATTCGACCACCGCGGACAATGGTTATGCTTGCCCTGAATGTGGCAAAATATGTAGCTGGGACAGCGCCACGGGAAATACTGCATTCCTCATTAATCTTCGAACTCGAAGACTAGCGTTATTATTATTATATTTAAGGTAGTTTTGCATAGGATGTCTTGATGATTGATACATTTTAGGAAAACATTATTGCTCTCGGGGTACCTGTTGTTTAATTCAAAATCCCTGATAGTTTCTCTATCATATTAGTAGCTCTATCTTTCATAATAATCAAGAAAAATATCTGGTGCATTTGTTGTTCCCTTCATGTGAAACATTTTTTCTTTTAAATAATACCAAATTTCATTTTGGGCCGCGGCCTAAGCCTCCAATTATCTAAAGCCTGCCCTGATATAGTTCAAACTAATTAAAACGAGGAAAATTGAGAGAGTTTTTGAAATATAGACAAATTAAAGAATGCATAGAACGTAATGGATGATCACTGTTGTCAACTAAAGAATAAAATTACTTTGTGCTACAAAAGAAAGAATTTATAAATGTGATTCCACAATGCTGAAAAAAATCACATTATTATATGGGTTATTAAAATGTTTCCCTTATCAATACTTCCGTATTCTCTACACCGGATACACCAACAAGCATGCTATTTATGGATTTAATAGACCCTCGGTGGACAACAGTTTAGGCTGCATCAAGTGTGGAAACATATGCATGTCTTAACTGAATTTGCGTTTTCAACACTACAGTCATCCTTAATCTTCGGAATCGAAGACATGGCTGCCATTATTACTATATTTATTTCCATGTATGAAGATCTCCAAAAAGAGTCGGTTCGAAGAATGATGTTATTGCAATCTTATTGCAATACAACAATCTTATACAATGAGACAAACAAACACTCTTGTGTTCAGGTGTACTTATAATTTTAAGTTTAAGAAAGCACACATCACAAACTATATTAAATAATTGTTAAAAAAAAAAAAAAAAAGTTGATCTAGATTCTACTTCTGGTGATCATCTAATAAGATTTATACTTTGTCAATTCTTGTTTCAGTACACTCCCATTGCTATATTTCTAGACGATTTATATTTTTTGCTTCGAAGTATTTTAATTTAAAGTCTACACCCACATATTTCGATCCAGATATAGCAACAATTTATATTTGGAAACGCAATGACTTCAAGTTATTAAAAGCAGTAGAATGAGTACGTCTAGTTTTCAGACGTGTGTATTGCAAAGTAAAGTCATTTACTCTCCTGCTAGATGCATGTCAATTATTTTTTTAATTATGTAAATCCCTATATTTTTTTTATCTTCTAATTCAATAATTATTTATAAATGTTTGAGTGTGCAGAGTGTCTTATCTACATTTTAATTTAAAGCAACTCAGGCAAAAGTCATGTGACTTAGCTCACAAATAAACAATCAAAAAAACAAATTATCATAACTTTATTTCGTTATGAAGTAGAGAAATGGGATCTTGCTTTTGCAAACTCTGGTCCAATCAAATTAACTTCATAATTTATGTTGATAACTAGACTGTCTTAATTGCTAGCTCAAAAGTACTGAAAAGCAATGTGTCAGACCTTGCAACCTATGGAGGCCCTAACCCATACATAGTCTCACCAGTTTCTATGGCCGATGATAAATAAGTGAGTCATGTGTCCAGCACCACACCCCCACCCTGTGTATCAGGTATCCAGTTGAGTTCCTCAAACAGGACACAGGGATTCAAACTCTAGACTCATCTGTTCAGAAGCCTTTACCATTCTGCCATCACAATCCAAAGATGATAATAACAGCACGAGTAATTCTATCAATCAGTGACACAAATACAAAAATGTATTACATGTTGGCATTAAAAAAGAACAATTAACATATGGACTTCAAGGATCCATTATGAAAGTATCCCATTCTGATCAATTAAAAACATAAATTGCAAAAGTTTATAATCTATCCATTAAAAGATAATGGGAAAAAAAAAGCATGAGGTAATAAATCTATTCATTTAAAAGACAAAGGAAAAAAAAATCAAGTCACAGTAGCCCAATCAAAAGTTATGGCTGTCAAACATTTTGAACACATTCGTTCTTCCACACCCCATTCTCATATCAGTTGACACTTTAAAACAATTACTTATTGTAATTTAACAAAGCAGGAATCAATAACAAATTTTTAAATAATAAATTATTTTGTTTGATATAAAAAGGGAAAAACCTTCTACAGCTACATTATTGAGACTAGTAAGTGTGGAGTTCTTTCCTTAGATAAGCTTTGTTTTTGATTTTTAAAAAAAAATTATTTTCATATTTAGCTTTTTTTTTAAACACATCATCACTTAAAGCCTCTTAGAATTGAGGGCTCAATGTTAAACAGGGATAGAGGTGTAGATGATGAGCCAGAGCTTTGACAGGCCACAAAAGGATCGAACCCACACTTTGCCAAACAAATGCTCTGTGTCCCTCATATCAGAGCTGGAAAGCTTCATGAGTATCACAGTTGCAGTTTTCAAGAGAACACCATTAGTCCTTTAGGAACAGCTCTTAAAATTTAGTCTTTCTGACCAGGCTTATAAAGTACTAGAACCATCATGATGGAAATAATGTCTAAAATAACTCAACAGAGGCCTGATGTAAGGATGTCAGCGATGATGATATAAATAAAAGCAATCATCATTGATGTCGGTGCCAGTGATACACAAAAATTCACTACATTTCCTGCAGAAGAAATATGACACTCGGCCACAACCGTTTCTCACACATTTTCTACCAGATTCTATCTTTGCCATGGCAGGAAAATGGTCATAGCAATCAAATCTCGATACCATGTTAGCATCAACAAATTCTGGGTTAGGTAAGCAAAAGGAAGCTGAAAATAAAGGAGAAAGGCATTAAAAAAAAAACAAAGCCAGCATTTTTTGTCACAAATCAGATTTGATATACAAACTGAATGTTTTTTTCTATGGCAGACAGTTGAAAGCACAACAACTGCCAGCACAACAAATGCCTTTACTCTTTACTTTCCCGTTGGGTGAACTCAGGGGCAGAGGTATAGTGAGCAAAATGTACCCCGGGGCAAGAAACTTGATTGGCGCACCCCCCCCCCCCCCAAAAATTTTCCATGAACATCACATAGAAATATAGGCTTATAAATAAAAAGTATTTAACAATAATGTAATACAAATAACCTTAGAATGTATTACCTAACTAAAATACCTACAATAATTTTTATTCTTTTGGCGCCTCTCTGTGTGTGGCGCCTGGGGCATCTTACCCCTTGCCTCCCTCTCGCTATGCCTCTGCTCAGGGGCATCAAAATCTAAGTATTCAGTAGAATTTAACCAGAGCCCTCATTACGAAATCCAAAGGCTTTACCAGTTGGCAATCATACCCCACAGGCCCTATGTATTTCATGATTAATCTTTACATAAAAAGATCCTGACAATGTTAATCTTTTATTAAAAAAAAAACAACTATGTTGAGACTGGTAGAGTTAACCAAAAGGTTTTCTTATATATAGTTGTAAAGTAAATAATATTATGCTGAATGAGGCACCTACATTGCTTTCCTACTGTCTCAAAATTTCCTATATCCAATTTTTCATCTGTACAGAGGCTTTGTGTTTCTTCTGTTGGTGTTTTGTCAGCGCCAGATACATCAGTCTGTCCAGAGTTTATATTTTGCTCATCTATTTCCACTTTTATCTCCTTATCCTGCTCAAAGAAAACATAAAATTATTCATATTCAGTGCATCCATTTTATACATACAAAAATAATGAAGGTTCCAAATTTAATTTTAAATTATCACTCATTGTCGAATAGTTTTGCAAAATGTGTTTTGATACAGCATATCTGTTACATTTTTTTTTTTAAATCTAAGGAGCAACTCAATAAATCATTAAAGCAAAGTTTTCCTTTCAATCCATGAGGTCTATAGGGCAGATGATGTAAAGGGCAGATGATGTAAAGGTCATCTGTTTCTGTGGCCCATGGTTAATGAGGGTGTCATGTGGCTAGCACAATGATCAAACGCCTTTACTTTTCCCCAACAAATGTCAGGTGCCCATCAGAGCTGGGTGGACTCAGAGGTGCCCTAAAAATCCCAAAATTAAAAAACCCCAGTCTTCACCAGGATTCGAAGTTGGGACCCCTGGTTTGGAAGCCAAGTACTTTACCACTCAGCAATGGCTGAAACATTAAAATAGACAAAAAAATATAGCAGTGAGATTCATAACAAAGGAATATTCACATTTGATTAGTCTAACCCCTTTATTAAAATCACTAAATTTAGAGATGCTTCAAGTAAAAAATAGTTAAGTAGCAATAGTACATAAAACTCAGATAGATAATTTACAAATACAAATTATAATAAAATACTCAGAAAGACATGAAGATAATACACATTTCTTGTTCCATATACAAGGATGAATTTATACAAATACTCCTTCTTCCCTCATGCTAACAAAGCATGGTATGGGTTGGCTGGAAAACCAATGACTTGGCAGAGTTTAATTCATAGATTAGCATACATGACTTGATTGACCTATGTGTCAGACGTAATCATTTTTTTTATGTAACGGCTTTATTTTATAAGAGAGGATTTCCTAACCCAAAATATTTATTTATAATTTATTATAGATTGTAGAATGAAAACAGAATGATATTTTAAATTAAAATATTAAGATATTGAACTTTTTCTTAGCTGAAAATGAACTCATTAGAAGAGTCATTAGCAAGGTAAATAATGTAGCTATTGAAAAAGAACCTATTGAGAGAGTAAAATATAATCAACCGAAAAAGACTTAGAAGTAAAGTGCCTGTAGCAATTATACACAAAAAAAATGAACAATAATAAAATCAATACATTAACAAAACCTAATAAAATACTCAGAAAGACTAAAGATAAAGGCACATTCCTCGTTCCATATGCTAGGACAAATTTGTACATATGCTCCTTCTTCTGTAGGGCTATTAGAGCATGGAACGTGTTGCCTGAGTCAGCCAGGAAAACCAATGACTAAGCAGAATTTAGGTCATTGATTAAAATGCATTACTAAATTGACCAAGGAACAAGTGCAGGACATAATCATCTTTTTTAGAGTAACATCTGTAATTGATAAGATAAAAGGCTTTGGTTTGGGCAATTTGCTCCTTTTTTAAAATTTATTTATGCATTAGCACATCTTTTATGCTCAATGTGTTATGGTTTTGTGGACATGTCGGGGCAGGTGGTATCTGGCAGAAGGTTTCTGTGCTGCCTTTAGCTCCTCAGCAAACAATTTAGCTTTAGGGACTCAAACTCTTGCGACCTTGCCATGTAACCAAAAGTTATAATCCACTCCTTTACACAGCCTACAGATAGGCTACTTTATACATAGACAAAAGTCACTGTCATGAAAAGAGTTATTTACTTTAGAGAAGTCACTAAACTAAAAATAAGTTTTGTAACTTACGCAAACATAATTTTGTCCAACACTGCGCTCCTTGCATGGATGTGATATTTCTTCATCCTCAAATTGTATTTCTTTCTTAATCTCTTTCCTTAATTCCTCTGTAAAATGTGTTGCCTTATCAGCCACTTGTGGTATCTCTAGAGAAAATTACAAGCTATATTTAGTTTTATAAGTCTATCATTAGTTACACGATTTAAAACCTCCTGGGTCTTGGTTCAACTAGATGGTTTATGCTTACAATGCAGAAGAAAGTCAAACAACAAAGAAACATTAATGATGCTTGCGCAGAGTGATTTTGAACTATATAAATGTTGTACTGTTTTTTTCTTTATTACTACTCACAACTAAAAGCAGAAGACAACACCTACACATGAGAAAAACACCATCTCCTTTATTTAACACCAGAAGCAAAGAGATCAGAACTGAATATTTCCAAATATCCTTAAAGTTACTTGAACATCTAGAATAGGGGTAGGCAACCTTTTTCTATCGAGGGCTGCATTTTTTGAAAATTAAGGAATCTGAGGGATGGAGCCGCATTAATATATATATATATTTATATACACACATATATATATTTAAATACAAATAGTGAATTAACTAATTGGTTAATTTGTTTAAATTCATTTTTGTGTTGTCAGATAAAAAATAACTGCAAAATTTTATTTGGGTTAGGATGTAATTATTTTCAGAATATAAAGGAACACCAGAAACACGTCAAACATTTTTACAAACATCATAAAATCAAAACAAAGGATGAAAATATACACACCTGATTCATAAGAGCTTATATTTTTCACAGCAGGCTTATGCCAAACAAACAAAACTTTATTTGCAGTGTCATCAGATAGGTTTATAGGACTCATTAAGACAATATTTGGAATGTCTGTTTGTGGTCTAGATTTGCTCATTAAACCTAGAGATTTAATTTGCTTAAAACCACCAGTATTTGTTGCATTTGTTGAAGTGGAAGCTGATTCTCTGCCAAGATTCTTACTCGGGGACATCAACATTGTCCTAATGTTACTTATAGCAGATGAATTGGCATAACTTGGGTTTAGATATTTCTCTGTGGTGTAATCTGCCACAAAATTCTGAAAAAAAAAAAGGTTTTATTATAAACATTATAAAGAAGCAATTAAATAACAGGAGTGATATGCTAGAGTTTGGGAAAACCATAAGCTAACTACGGAGACCAAAATGGAAGTCTACAAGGCAAGCGTTATGAGTACACTGCTGTATGGCAGTGAATCATGGACCACCTACGCAAAGCAAGAGAGAAAACTGAACTCATTCCATTTTAGATGTCTCTGTAGGATCTTGAAAGTCACATGGAAAGATAAAGTGTGCAATACTGAGATCCTTGCGCGATCAGGTATTCCCAGCATCTTTACAGCTCTCAGACAACGCCGTTTGCGCTGGCTTGGACATGTTCACCGGATGGAGGACAAGCGCATCCCAAAAGCCATCCTCTATGGACAACTCGCAAATGGCACAAGAAAAACTGGTTACATAGATATAATAACGTGACCTCAAATCAGTGAACATCAATACTGACAATTGGGAAGACATAGCTCTAGACCGCACCAGATGGAGAGAGACAGTGACCAAGAAAGCTATGGACAGTGAAGGTACATGGGTCTCAGCTCAGGAAGAAAAACGTACAATCCGAAAAATGGCCAGCTCCTCTACCACCGAAGCAAAAGCCACCTTAACCTGCGCTATTTGTGGACTGGAGTGTCTCTCCAAAATAGGGCTCCACAGCCACATAAGGAAGTGTGCTCTGAGATGAACCATAGTCGTTCTATGACTGAAGTAGGCCAATATATATATATATATGTATATAATGCTAGAGTGATGAGGTGTTTGAAAAACAAGTATGTTATTTAGAAAATTCTAAATATGAAGAATATTTTTTTTTAATTTCAAATTTCACAGATGCCCCCATTTATGATGATAACTTGGTGTTTGTAGAAAAGAAAGATTGTCATTGCTCTGTTCACATGACTTGCTAATGAATGGCCATTCAAACCCCATCAGGTGTATATGAATTTTTTGTTTGTTTCATATTCGTAATTCATTTCTGTAATGTCCTTAATCACCCATAAACAAGATAATTTGTTTAAATGTACGTCCTCC